CGTGTACACACACACACACACACACACACACACACAGAGTATTTTTGAGACAGTTTCATGTAATCCAAGTTGGCCTCCAACTTGTTGTGTAGCTGGGTAGCTGGGATCCTTTCTGATCCTCCTACCTGTACCTTTCAAGTGCTGGAGTTACAAGCATACATTACTATTCCTAGTTAATAAAATGTTTTCAATGCACCATATCCCAATCAAGATATATATTTCAGAGTATTTAGATCAAGGATGTACTTTTTGAATAAGCATCTAATATGTACAAAATGCATTTTCATATGAAGTAATATAAAACAGAGTTCTAATGCTAATATGGTTAAGGAGAAAGAATAATACATGAAACTACACTAAAATTGTGGAAAACATCAATGTTTAGAGGAAATCAGAAGAGTAATTTATATTAGAAAAAGTATTCATAGAGAAGGGAGGCAAATATAAATATATATTTGTTGATGGCTGCCTATGGATATACAGAATTCCTACAGTTGCCAAGTGGGTATATGAGCTATAGAAGATGTTAGTGTGAATAAAATGTTTGGGAGACAGGTTGGTTAAATAATGTAATTGTAGAGCTTGAGGTAGAATATAAGTTAGTAAAGCTAAGAAAAGAAAGAATGAAAGGATGTACAAAGTTTCTAATATCATGTAGTTGATTTCAGGATGAACTAGAAGTAAATTAAATATGGAAATGTTCTTCTGGTAGTATTTAAGCTTAGGATCAAACAGAATCATTTTGGAAATCATCAAAATTTTCAAGAGGCAACAAAAAATGTATGGAGAGTGGAACCAGAAGTCTGGGCCTATATCAAGAGGGGTGCCCCACATTTAGGATAGTCTAGAGTAAAAAAGAAAAGAAAGACAAAGTGAACAGTTAAATAGTTCAAGTTTTGGATCGGGGTGGGGCAGTTGGCTTTCCATGAAAGAAGTAGCAAGACAAAGATGAAATCTGAAAAAAAAGTGAAATCTGAGAGGAAATTTTTGTCATAAGCTATGATCTCTCTACTGTACAATATAAAATTCATTAGGCATAGCTCTTAAAATATGTCAAGTCTGATTTTAAATGAGCCATAAATATGATACCCACTGTAATTAAAAGGCTTAATACAAAAAAGGGGAGGGGAAGAATGTGAAATAACTCAACATTTCTTAAATATTGAATATATATTGAAATACTTTAGACATTGGAACTAAATAAAATATACCCTTATATTAATATTATTTTCATCCTTTTGCTGTAGTTACTTACTAAAGAAAATGTGAATATAGTTAAAAGAACAGTCAGCATTTTGGTATGAAACATTATCCTGAATAGACAAAAATCAAGACAAGGTATCATTTGCATAGCAAATACTGAATATTCTTTTAATAAATATTACTCAAGGAATAACCTGTTCTTTTTATTCTTGTTGTTTGACACTGTTTCACTCTATAGCCCAAGATGGCCTGCAATTCACTATGTAGTTTAGGTTAGCCTGAAACTCACACTAATCCTTTGCATGGTCTCTTCAAGTGCTGAGATTATAGGTGTGAGCCACCTGGCTTTATAATTTGTTGAAAACACAACACAACTCTAGAGAGCTTATATCTCAGAAGGTTGTTATGTTTTCGTATGATTCAGTTACTTAGAGTTTCCATAAATCATGTGTTCCTATTTTGGGGGTCAGTAGCTTTTTACACATTCTCCCTTCTGTGTAAATATTTTCACTTGGTAAGCTCTTTCATATTAAGTTCCTGAACATACTACAAATCTAATCATTTTCCCCCTTGTATATATTCTTTTCATAATAGATATGCACTTATTTCCACTAGAACACACATTGTGTTCTATTTATTTTTACACTTTTCTCCTGTACTAGAATATAAGCTTCTCAAAAGCAGGGACCATATTTCATTTATGATTTTCTTACCAGCAATTAGTAGAATGTGTGGCAGGCATAGAGTAGAAGAAAAATAAAACTAGGAACAGAGACAGATGCAGCCCCTCTCAAATAATGAAACAAACAGCTGAATTTTCAACAGAAACTATGAAATCCCAAAGATTACATCTTAGAGAACTAAAATAAAATACACACAAACTGAGAATTCTATACTCAAAGAATGTATCCCTTAAACTACAAACAAAATAAAGACATCTTCAGCTGCCTAATAGAGAGAATATATTATCAGGACAGAAATGTTACAGTTCTTCAGACAGAAAGATAATTCCAAAAAATGAAGGAATGACTAAGTGCCATAAAAATATTTGTATAAACACAATGAATTCAAAGTGTACAAAAATGTAATAGCTATGTTAAATAAAGCTTAAAATACATATAGAATTAAAATGTATGACAATAATCCAAAAGGTATTAGGATATGAATTAAAATAAAAAATGTTCTAAAGTTTTAGTGCAAATACTTCACAACTTCTGACTGTTCAACCAAGGATTTTTCAACTTTACATTGATGGGATATAGTATACAATCAGCAGAAACCATACCTCAAATTTAAATTTTCTCCTGGGCTGTTGACAAACATGTAACATAATAGACTTTTGCAATGCTGAACTGTGGTTTTTAGTAATCCATACAATCATGAAGATAAACAATGGATACTGCAGTGTGCTAGGGTGTTTGGTACCTTAAGTATATTATACACTTGGGGGTCTAGGATATTTTCAACTTATAGTGAGTTTATTAAGATATAACAAAATTGTATTATTGGAGAGATGGCAAAAGTAGTTGTACTAAACTATAACAAATGAAGACTACATATTGTAATATGTAGGAGAACCACTAAAACATAAAATAATATTATAATAAATGGAGGGTCAAAATAGAATAATAAAATATATTTGATTAACAGAAAAGGCAAGAAAAGAGAAAACGAATAATTTAGAGTAAAAGGTGGATTAAGTGAGAAGCAAAAGAATGGCAACTGTAATTCATACATATTAGCAACTACTAAAAATAACAAACTCCAAATAAAAAGTTCATCAGACTGGATTTTTATATGCTGCTAATAAGAACTATAAATATTGGTATACAGACATGCTAAAACCAAGAAAAAAACTTTACAAAAGATTAGTGATAAAGGAAGATATAGAATAAGGTTTTGTTTCCTTTTTGAAAATAAGAACGACTTAAGTATAGCAATGTAGTCTAATGTGACTTTTTCTAAAGGATTTATTAATTTATGTACTTTATGTATATGGGTGTTTTGTCTGCATGTACATTTGCACACCAGAAGAGGGCATCAGATCCCATGGAACTACAGTTATAGATGGTAGTACGCCACCATGTGGTTGCTGGGAATTTAACTCAGGGGCCTCTGGAAGATCAGCCAGTGCTCTTAACCTCTGAGCCATCTCTCCAACCCCTGTAACATTTTTTAAATAGGAGAAGTGTAATAGTTATTCTGAGTTGTCAACTTGGCTGGATTGATAGATGCCTAGGGTAAGAATAGGGAAGTTCACTTCTGATGTGCCTGTTCCAGCATCATTTTCAGAGGGGATTCTCCAAGCAGTAGTCTGGGAGCCCAGGCAGAATTCAAGAAAAGGAAAATAAGCCTGCCTGGGAAGCCTAGTTCCATCCTTCCTGAGGTAGTGCGTGTAGCACTGTCATCATCACCAATGGCCACCAGAATCCAGAGCCTTCAGCTGTCCAGTGAAGATGCACAGCAGCTACACACCAGGGAGCTTCCAGGCCTGGATTGGGGCTGCAGCATTTGTCCTCCTTGAGCAGAGGCTCCCAGCTTGTCAGTTTAGCTAATATGAATTAGCCTGCTCTCCAGCATGCAGAAAGTCATTTTTGGACCACCAGGCCCCTAACTGAGCAAGACATCCTATAAATTGCCTTTTATAACAAATATCATAGAAAGGGGAAGAAAGAGATCTCAATTCTATTGCTTCTAATCCTATAGAAATTTTTAACACAGGAAGAAAGGTGGTTTAAGTGGTTATGGTGAAGAAGTTTATACATAAAGATAATAAGTAGATGCTTTGCCTAATAGCTTGGAGAAAGAATAAGAAACAATTATTTTTATAATAGTTTACAGAACCATTAGACTCTGATATATTGAAGGAAAACCTAACTGGTTTTATACAATTAGCTTAGAAAAATGGCAGGAAAAGTGGGGTGGGGGTGCACACTCAGGAGAACAGACAGTGGACTAAAAATCATGACACCATGAATAGATTTATATGAGAAGTATGAATAGACCATTTGGGAGTGGGTAAAAAGGTAAAAAGAATATGAACCAAACCTCAAAATCTTAAGGAAAGTGGGAGAAAGGCTATAAAATAGAGACAGCAAGGAGAGGAACAGGGTAATGTTGATCACATTATTCCTGTTGATCAAGTAAAGTTCCTACAAAGAACAGAAACTAACTAGGTCCCATTCTAGTGAGATTTTTAATCTGGTTTTAGCAGGAAAAAAAACATGCTGCACAATTACAAAGCAGATTAATAACCTGGCTGAAGTGATCAAACAGATTGCAGAAATTCCTCCCCAACTGCAAATTTCCATCATGCAAAATTTTAGCATACATACCTTTTCTGCACCTGTGCGCATTTCAGTCCCAGTGTATGTAAATTTGGAGTCACTCCTATTGGAGATAGATTAGAAAAGGGGAAATTGGGGTTTGGAATAGAAAAGAGAGTTAAGAAAAAATAAGATAAACAGTTTTTGCAATGCAACCTTAGCTGAAATAAAAGAGGAGGGAAGGGGAACAGACTCCAGGTATTAAGGAGGGGACCTAATAAACAATAAGCTATGCTTTGCAGTTTAAACAAAGGGGACTCAAAGGTTTTATCATCTCTCAAGCTTTCAAGTTACTAGGAACCTCTAGGATCACATAGGGTTTACAGGGGATGGGGAGGGAACAGAAATCCACTGACGATTTAGATGAAGAAATGAATCAACAAGGGAAAAGCCTCTCAATGTGTGGACATTATCTGCCACAATGAAAGTTACTGGCATGTCCCTGACATTTCAGGGGAGAATATAAAACACAAAGAAAATGGAAACCAATAGAACCAAATGTCAAGTATATTGTTAGTCATTTTTAATAAGTCAACTTTATTTCAGTCAACAAAGTTCTATTCATGTTCCTATCATGCAGTAATCAGTTGGGTTCCTGAAGCTCCAACAAAATTGTATTTATAGGAACTTTTTACAGGTTCATATATGATGATGGTTCTTTCAGTCAGATTTTTCCACATGGGAGCTTAAATATCTCAAATAAAATCATGCTGTGATATAAAGTTAAAATGAAACTTTATGGTTGTGGTGGAACTCAGATTGTATTGTTGAGGAAGCTCTGTACTGTTAACGTTAACATATAAATCATACATACTATTAGCAAAGTTTGTTATAATTCTTCACTAAGAATCAATTTAGAGATTCTAATATGATGTAAGTAAACAAATATAGTCTTACCTTATGTCATCATTCAACTGGAGTAGGAAAGAGCAGAAAACATTACTGACACATTGTTTCGTTTTAGGGATGCAAATTTACATGAAAAATAGATCATATGTTCACACACAACAGCATGAAAGACTGGAGGATTCAATGTAAGCACTTTACTACACTCAGTGTATTTCATCATCTACTTTCACACCGCTGTAATATTTAGCCACAACAGAGACTTTGGAGTCCAGGAAATCCTTCTGGCCTGAGTACTTTGTCATACTTTAAAATGCTTTAGTGATGGCCCTGCTTTCCATAGAGAAAACTGGTGGCGGTGGGGTGTTTGTTTTCTCATATGTCGATACCCACATTATACCAGAATGTGTTTCTGGCCTGATTTGCTGCTTTGGTCATTGGTGTGATTACCCCCCCACACACACACACACACCCGTGGACCTCTGAGGGTATGCAGGAACATAAGCATGAATCAGAGGACACCAGAAGAAAAGGATCCCGGGACAGCATTAGAAAACGC